GATACATAATATTAGATTATTTAAGTTGTTTTTTAAAGATTGGATATTTAGAATACTAAGATAAGATTGATTCTAGTGACTGGCCTCTATTACTAATTATATAAGATTATATAATATTAGGATTGGCTGAGATTACTAAGCCAAGATAGATAAAAAATTAAATAATTTTAAAGTTTAATAAGTATCTGTTAGGACTATTAATAATTGATTTAGGATGATATAAAATATTAATAGGAAACTATGAGTTATTTTGTAGTTATTGAAGTCTAATTTGAGTTGTGATGCCAAAAAAATTAGGGTTATTGATTCATTGAAGATAATTAAAGATGTGATGCTAAAATTGAATGTTCCATATATTATAAATATTATATAGATATGGGCTAAGCATTAAGTTATTTGATATAGATCTGAAAAAATAAAACTTGTGTTTTGGTACAATAAGGTATTTAGATAAGATTTGGTTATATGTAGTATAAGGAAGAATAGTGTTATGTAATTGATATTTCAGAATTGGAATGATTACTGTATTGATAATGTAAGCAATTTGTTTGTCAGTAATTTTCTTTGTACTAGCAATATTGATAAGATTATAAGCCTCTTTTTCTATTAGTTTGATAGTTTGAGATTGTTTGTTATTAAATGTAAACCAACATCTAAGAAATTGAAGGGTTGATTTTTAGAAATAAAATAAATTTAAGATCCAGAAAACTACATAGAAGTGGTAGAGGAGTTTGTGACTAGAATATATTTTATTGAATTAATTTAGATATTGACTATTTGATAGAAGAATGTAGCAGTTTTAGTTATTAAATTAAGCTTCTCTTTAGATTTTGCAATCCAGAGAGTATTATCTATGTAAGCTAAAACTAATACAAATGTTTTTAAAGTTTAGGTTTAAGATGAGTATAAGTCAGTTTTTCAAGATGCAGATAAAGAGTAGCTAAAAATTGTAAGTCAATTTTATGAATTAGAGGATTATAATAGATTCTTCAGAATAATGGAGTTATAATTTCTTCTTGATTTATACTATTTTTAACTGAATAAAAGTTAATAAAACCAAAATTAGATATAATTCAGTTTTGGTAATTAGTAAGAAGGTTGATAAGTATATTGATGAGGGTTTGAGGCATTGATATCCATTTAAGAGACTTTGTAAAAAGTTCTAAATTAACAGAATCATATACTTTGTTCATGTCCTAAGACAGAAGCCATAATTGTTTATTGTTGCAACTAGTGTCTTTAATAATATTGTTAAGTATATGTATAAAAATAGATGTGCTATTGTCAGGTAAAGCAATATAGTTATAAGGAGATAGAATATGATGTTGTATGAGTATTAAATTAAGACAATTAATAAGAAGTCTTATGTATAGTTTCTTAATATGTTCAATAAGGTTGATGGGTCTTGTATTAAAGAGGTTTTCATCAAATATAGGTTTTATAGATATTGGAAAGATGTAACCTTCTTTTCATTGCTTAGATATATGAGAAGTTTGGATACATTAATTAAAAAAGCCAACTATTGCTTGAAGAAAAGTAAAACTAGTCTGTTTAAGCATTTCATAGCTAATTCTAGATGATTTACATGTTTTGTTATTAGGAAGTTAGTTAAGAGTTCTGGTAATTTTATCAAATAAGAATTTATCAAAACTAAATTATAATGGTCTGAACTAGTGATAACTTTTAGTTTATATTTCTCTAACTAGTTAGTATTAAATTCATAATTATTAATAGGTTTATAGATAGTCCAGTTGTCAAAATAATGTTGAATATGTTCTTTAATTAGTTTGAGTTCTGTGATGATATGATTTGATGTTTTTATGTTATTAAATTTTACTGAATTCTTGTGATGGTTAAGTATGCTATTGATCATAAGTTTAGAATTAGTTTAAAGTTTGAAACATCTAAGATTGATATGTTAATTTATTTGTTCTTGGATTTGTTATTTATTATATTTTTAAATAATTATAAAAGATAAAAAACATAACAAATATATAAATAACTAATTAAAATCTAAGAGATGTGGTAACTTAGTGAAATGGATAAGTTGTCAACCTTCCAAGTAGTAGTTTGTAAGTTCAAAACTTATTGATAACAAAAATTTGAATAATCACTTATATAATATATAAACAGTATTACAATAATAGCATTTTGTCAATCAGTTGGAATAGGATACCTGTAACTATGATTGCATCAGCATGACTGGCAGGTTACAGGGCATCGGTATAACCTTAATTATACAGAGAAATGCAAACTGGTACTGAATAGTGCAAACCTAAAATAAGTCCTTGTAGTTATATAAATTTGTAGAACTGAGAAACTGGAGCCCATTTGAAAAGACTTAAGTAAAGAGATAATATGGATCTTCAACAGTACTACTATAAAGGCTAGACCTAGGAAACAGATACTAATGTAAAAGAGCCAGACAGGTAAGAACCTCAGGTAAGAGTACTACTAACCAGACTATTAGAACCAAACCAGAGGAAAAGAATATCAGATTGGCTCAATATACCAAGAACAGATCACAGTTCTATCAGACTATCTGAATTGGAAGTCTGAGGTCAAAGCAAGGATATACTATAAGTACTAAGGATATGCTGTAAAGTAGGTGCTAAGATTTGAGTAAACTCTACAAGGGTTAGCCTAGTTAATGTTCTATAGAATAAGTAGATAGTTAACAAGAAGGTACCTCAGAACCTTATAGTCAGAAGATGTATTTTGGAATGTTTAATGGCATGACAGATGTACAAAAGAGGATTGTTAAATGTTGAGTTAGATAACACTTAATTGTATGAGAACTAGGTATTACTCATCTAGGTGTAGTATAAGGATCAGAGTATTTAAATAAGTACCCTTCTAGTAGGTTACAGACATGACAGCTAGTATAGAACCCTTGGGCAAACTACTTAAATAGGTAACCAAAAGTTATACATATGACTAGTTGCACACTTACCTTGTACAAGTCACATGTAATGCATTGACCAAAAACACAAATAAAGGCAGTAACTACCGATAATATCAGCCTTAAATAAAAAAAAAACCTAATTAAAATCTAATCTACTTTAGTATATTTTATAAATAATAAATTTAAATAATTAGTTTTAGTTAACTAGTCTAAAAAATATTAAAAATTAAAAGTTTTATTAAATATTATAATATATAATATAATTAGATCTCTTTATAGTATCTTCTCTATAGTTATATTTGTTTATAATTAGATAAAATTTTAAAACCAACTTTTATAATACTTATAAAATTTAATTTTTATATAATTACAAACTTTTTATAAACATCAAATTTTTAAGACTAAGAATAATTATAAAAAGGTTTAACTGTAATTCTATAATAGATTTAGATTCTATAATTTAATAAATAAGCTACCAAACTTTTACAAATAAGATCAATAGTTTAAGTCAAATTAAAGACAAAATCTAAGAATTTTAAACTTTGTAATCTAAAAATAAAACTAAATTAGATACATATGAAAACCTATAGAAAATTCTAAAATAAAATACAAAATTTAATAAAAATTTCCAAAAAGAAATTGATTTTACAAAAGTAAACATTACATACACTAATTACATTATAGAAGATTATATTGCACAAATTATTGTGTAGTTAAGTCTCTAGAAAACAAAAATAACATTAATATCTCTGTATCCAATTTGCAAAATACTTGATTGAAAAGATAATATCAAATGTAACTAAAACTGATATAGTAAATAAAACATTGTATACAAAAAAGACCTATGATAAAAGATTAGTATAATCAATTGAAATATCTTTAACAGATACTATAAATCTTAAGAAAAACAGGACTAACAATTGTACATCACAACATGGCTGATGGTTACCATACACAAAAATCAAAATTTCAGGTGCTCTTGCAATATTAAACTGGAAATACAATAGTCAATGATAGTAGTACATCCACAGATATCTGCAGGAAGCATATGTACTCAAACTACAGCCCAAACCAACTATGGGAGTGGATTATATGGAGGTGACTATATGGAGGAACAACTGTAATCTTTTTTTTTTAGTTCAGTGAGTCCCATGATTACAATATAGTAGCCAATTCGATCTCTCGTATTTTGTGGGACTCATTTTAATTATTCATACATTATTCCCTTTTATCGATAAATAAATCTCATAAAAAACGGCGGACAAAAGGTAGCTATCTATTAGAAATGCGGTAGAATTTCAAAACGTCGGAACATGCCACTTTGCTTTGCTCTTCAATAAACGAATTATTATTTCCAATTAAAGTTACGATGTTAATTTATAATTAAAAGTTACGATGCTAATTAAAGTTACGATGCTAATTAAAGTTACGATGCTAATTAAAGTTACGATACAATGGAATCATACGGTTTTGGCTGCAACCGTCATAAAATTCATTGGGACGATTCCACCGCACCTCTACTATCTATGTTGTATTCATCATCAACTAAATCAAAAAGTGCTGTAACGTAAATTATTCGAATTAATTCAAATAAAATAAGTTCAAATATAAAAATCAAGTTCGATTTCAATCACTACTTTTTTATGATATTAAGATATCAAGCTTTTAACAATAAGCAAAAATAATATTTCATGACTTAATAAGTCTATAATTTAACAGCAAATAACTTCTCCACAACCCCATAAAAATCCGTGCTCCCGTGCGGTGATTTCTTATAAGGCTAGCAATCAAAGAGAAATTTGCTTAGCAAAAACTTTTATTTGTAACCTAGCCGTATTCCGATGCTATAGAAAACTGTAATAACTTTCGACAATGTTTCTTATAAATAAAATTTATTTTTTATCTTTACACTATTCAATAGTGATTTGCTTGTCTTAAATTCTGATTATATCAAGAAAATTAAAATTCTAAGTTATTATTAATTATCTACTATACGAAAATTTTAATAATAGTATGTAACGAATTTAGTCCGTCTCTAATACGTTTGCTTTTTCCTACTTTGATAATTTATTCAGTGTACAACAATGATATTGTTTCACGAAGGTAAGATATATTCATTATATAAATTTCTTCGTTTACCATCCAAAAATTCATCATAAGCTGTTTGTATAACACCAAACCAAGATGTTGGATGAATAGTGGCATTCCATTGATTATGCCAATGATAGGCGAAAATACCACGAAAGAAATTATCTATATTTCGAATGTCCAAAGGTGAACTATCAAATGTTGTAGAGTCAAGTATTGGAATCTCACCAGGAGTTATTTTAGGATCAAATATATCAGCAAATTCATCAAGATTTGGTGATAATATGGATAGTGGTTGTGCATTATCTTTTTTCAACCATAAAGGATCAAATAATCCAGTCGGAAGCATGTAAATAAATTTGTTAGTTTCTTCAAGGGAAGAATGTTTGTGAGTAGATAGGTATTTTTTAATTAGGAAAGGATGAAATTTCATATGATTTTTTATAGCACCACGAATCACCGCTTCAGAAGATTGACTCTGTTTCCAAAGACGTAAGACAGCAGTATTATATTCATATTTTTTACTCCAACGATAAGCGAATTCAAAATTTGCGTAGTACAAAGGACGCATGTCACGAACAAGAATGACGTCAGAATC